GTTCACTTGAGTGTTGGTATCAAATTTTGGACAAGTTTCAATTATTATTTCACATTCCTTTATTCAAATATCCAAATAAATGGAATATGACATCAAACTGGACGACTAGATTCTGTTTCCAAACTTGTTTTTGTAAAAATAGAAAATTACAACTTATTATGTGTTGTTCTAATAAAAAATATTGTTTTTGATATGCATATTTAATTTTTTGATATGCATATCGAATGCTTAAATCGTTAATTGAGTTCGAGTTAAGCCCCGGGGCTTAACTCGAAGTACTAAAACAACCTTGTGTTCATCGAATTAAGCCCCCGGCGAAAAAGGGCGTGCCAGGAGCGTGGCAGGGGCTTAACTCGAATAGGGCTTAACTCGAAGGGCTTAACTCGAAGGGCTTAACTCGAAAAATACCTACCCCCTTCTACTGTAGCAAGAAGTTCTTGAAGGACTTGGACTTTTTCATTTCGCTGTTATACAGGGTGTGTAAAAAAAACTGAACAGATTTGAAATTGTTCTCATTTTCGCAAACCAGCTATTAGTATCCAGTTTTTTATATATGTTACTTCTTTGGGTACTTATAATATAGAATAATGAAAAAAAATTCTCGAACACGAATTTTGTAAACCAGAGGGGCCTGTCTTTTCCGACAAATTAAAAGTGGATTCCACACGAGATTTAAAAGCAATTATCGTATTTTGAGTTAATGGATGAAAAACGCGTTGGGCGTTTAATGGCTGCACGAAATTTCAAACAATTTGCTTCAGTTTAAGCCCTTCAACTATTTACGCAAACTTACATTTTTCCTAAAAAAATCAGCAATTTGCATGCTTAATTAATAGCCACATTTGCCCAATTTGCATATGTCAGCAATATGCAAATTAGGCAAAGGCTTTAATTAAGCATGCGAAAGCTGATATTATAGGAAAAAATGGATAGTTAAAGGGCATAAACTAAAGCAAATTGTCTGAAATTTTGTACAGTCATTAAAAACCCAATAATCTATTAACTTAAATTTCGTGCGCAAGCCATTTTTAGTTTGTTGCAAAAAACACAACCCACTGGCTGACTCTTGTACTGACAGTCCCTCATCTGTTATCCGTACGCGCGGTCGCGTTATCGCATTCCAATTAAGCACCGCGCTCTCATTGTTTTCCCACTGATCTCTATTCCCAACTGAAGCGACGAGGGACGAGGCAGCCCCACTGGTTCACAAAATTTAAGTTCGAGAAATTTTTTTCATTATTCTACGGAAGAACTAACCAAAGAAGCTATATACCTTAAAAACTAGATACTAATGGCTCTTTTGCGAAATTGAGAAATCAAATCGGATCAGTTTTTTTTATACACGCTCAAATTTTGTTGAAAAGATAATATCCCTAACACTCCGGAAATAATTGTTGATTTTGTTTCTAGTACCTTCACATCTAGGTGATCTTTTAAAAATTGATGATACCATTCTTGTTCAATGTCCTGACCAGTAAGGGGTTTAAGCTCTTTCCACCATTTATTACTTTTACATTTGTCTAAATTTGCAATCTTCTGTTTATAATAGGTAGCTTTACAAGTTTTTCTCTGAATTTTGCATCCCAATTGCTTATATAGCCTATAAGTTTTTACTGTAGTTCGTTTTCGTATATTACACAGTTGTTCGTTTATAGGTTGTAGTTCGTTTGAGCGCTGGAAATTTTGTGTGCAAGGAGTCGCAAACTTACTTTTTGAGTAGAGGCCGTATATTGATCTATTGGATTGGAGGAGCTATAAGCAATTGTTCCAATCTATGTTTAAACCAATATTCTGCTTGTCACGCATTTTCAATATATAAGTGTGAATTTCTTAATTATACTGTAATTGATTCACACTATTGTTGGATACATTTAAACTTTAGGTGATTTGCAAGCTGAAAGTCTTTCCTCGCGTTGGGATATTAAAATAGTCAAACAAGCGCACTTCAAATAACATTTAGTTTAAAACGGCGCTACAATACTTTCCAGATGATGTTACCTTTTGTCGCCTTATGATATTAAAAGTATTATGATTTAACATTTTTAGGAGCAACAATGTTCGCTATACCATGGGAAAGCGAGGAAAAACGAAATTACATTTGTATGGATTATATTGTCACTAATATTGCAAGTAAAGAATTGAGAAAAATATTTATGCAGGAATGGAACAGTCGCTACCAGTCTTCTTTTGGAGCATGGGATGACACCAACGCGTAAGTGGCAATCAGTTGTTTCATCGGGAAAAAACACGAGGTAGGCCAAACAAGAACATGCTCCAGTCAAAATTTCAACATGGAGATACAAATCAGTGGGATTGTTCTGTGCTTTTTGACGCAATTCTTTACTCCAATTCATTTGGAGCAAGTCTTAATCCAACGATAAAAACAGAAGTCGACAATCTCAGAAAATTACGAAATGAAATAAAGCATATATCTGAAGCAGAGCTCACTGATGTAGACTTTCAAACCATGGCAACTCGTGTTGAAAATGCATTCAAAGCCTTGGGACTTCCAATCAAAGACGTTGTTCGAATCAAAGTTGAGCGAAATCTCTACAAATCGTTTGAAGTTCTTCCCCCTGAACCAGCTCATGAAGTCATTTCCCGGTCTGACAAGATACAGGAGATAAAACAAGACCTTGAAAAGTTGCACTGCGATAACGATAGTAAACTTACCTACTTCTATATCTCTGGAAATCCCGGAAGTGGAAAATCTCAACTCGCAAGGCAACTTTGTGGAGATATTTACAACGGTGTCAATTGGCAGACCGAAGCAACGTTTGTAATGACGTTGGAGGGAAAAGACTTAGATTCTCTTCTCTACTCATATGAAGATTTTTGTCGTCGCCTGAATTGCAACGAAAGTGTATTGCAAAGTATATTAAATTCATCCAAGCCAACAGATGAGAAAATCAAAGACTTAAGATCGCAAATAACCACTAGAATAAAAAATTGGAAGAAATGGTGGATTATAGTAGACAATGTGGAAAATCTCAAGCTCATTTCCCCTCTACTGCCTCAAAGAGGCGACAAAATTTGGAATAACGGCCAAGTTATATTAACCACACAAAACACAAGTTGTGTCCCACCTAACAGCTTGTTAACCAAACACATTTCACTCAGTCTCGGTATGAATGACCAAGAGTGTCGCCAGCTTCTTTGCAAGTTATCAAAACACGACGGTAATGACGTCAATGATCCGTTATTAGATGAAGTTGCAAAGAAGTTAGATTGTCAACCGCTGGCAATGGCCGCGGCTGCCGGGTATATGAGAGAAGTCATCGAATCAAAGTATCCTCCTGATTTTTCGTGGCGAGACTATTTAGAAAAGTTAGAAAAAGGTGAAAGAAAATTAACATCAAAACGTCTTCGTGAGATAAATTCAGCGGCATATTCGTCCACCATGTCCACAGCTGTGCTTTTAGCTGTTGAAAAATGTGCAGAAAGTAATACCATTTTAAAACATACATTCCAACTCTTCTCCTTGATATCGTTTGAACCACTGCCATTTGATCTTGTTGTAAAATACATTCAGCTGCAAGATGAAGAGCTAAAAGCCGAGGATATCTTTCCTGTAATAAAACACTGCTCGTTGTTCGTTCATGTTGGAAATGACGAGCATGATATCCGCCTACATCGAGTTGTCCATGAAGAATTTAAAGAGTTTTGTCTTTGGAAAGAACCTCAAGTTAACGATTTCTCCCAGACCGGAATTCCAAATACAACAATTGTAATTCATAATGTTGTGAAAACGATGTGCGGCTTCGAGGGTAGGAAGGATATAATCAAATTAATTCCTCATTTAAAGGCATTTTACAAAGAAATGAACAGACTGTTTCCATATCGTGCGTTGTATTCATTAAGCCTAGACTTTGAAAAAACTGAAATTTCTCAAATTTATCTGTTTTGGGGGAAAACTTTACGTAATTATTGCGAGTTTAAATTGTCCATGGAATTTTTTAAATCAAATATTGAAATTTTGAATGCCTCGAAAGATGACCTTAATATCGCCCGTACTTACTACGAACTCGGTTTATTACATAAAGCAATTCAAAAAGCAGAAAGTTATCTGCACCACGCATTGGAAATTGAATTAGAACAATCAGGACCAAACCATATTAACGTTGCTATTTCATACAACAGCCTGGGTAATGTGTGTCGAGGCAAAGGTGATCTACAACTTGCTAGTGATTATCATCAACGGGCACTGGAAATCCGAGTAGAACAATTAGGACCAAACCATATTCACGTTGCTTCGTCGTACAACAACCTGGGTATTGTGTGTAGAGATAAAGGTGATCTACAACTTGCTAGTGATTATTATCAACGGGCACTGGAAATCCGATTAGAACAATTAGGACCAAACCATATTGACGTTGCTTCGTCGTACAACAACCTGGGTAGTGTGTGTCGAAACAAAGGTGATCTACAACTTGCTAGTGATTATCATCAACGGGCACTGGAAATCCGATTAGAACAATTAGGACCAAACCATATTCGCGTTGCTTCTTCGTACAACAACCTGGGTAATGTGTGTGGAGACAAAGGTGATCTACAACTTGCTAGTGATTATCATCAACGGGCACTGGAAATCCGATTAGAACAATTAGGACCAAACCATATTGACGTTGCTTCGTCATACAACAACCTGGGTATTCTGTGTAAAGACAAAGGTGATCTGCAACTTGCTAGTGATTATTATCAACGGGCACTGGAAATCCGATTAGAACAATTAGGACCAAACCATATTCGCGTTGCTTCTTCGTACAACAACCTGGGTAATGTGTGTGGAGACAAAGGTGATCTACAACTTGCTAGTGATTATCATCAACGGGCACTGGAAATCCGATTAGAACAATTAGGACCAAACCATATTGACGTTGCTTCGTCATACAACAACCTGGGTATTCTGTGTAAAGACAAAGGTGATCTGCAACTTGCTAGTGATTATTATCAACGGGCACTGGAAATCCGATTAGAACAATTAGGACCAAACCATATTCGCGTTGCTTCTTCGTACAACAACCTGGGTAATGTGTGTGGAGACAAAGGTGATCTACAACTTGCTAGTGATTATCATCAACGGGCACTGGAAATCCGATTAGAACAATTAGGACCAAACCATATTGACGTTGCTTCGTCATACAACAACCTGGGTATTCTGTGTAAAGACAAAGGTGATCTGCAACTTGCTAGTGATTATTATCAACGGGCACTGGAAATCCGATTAGAACAATTAGGACCAAACCATATTCGCGTTGCTTCTTCGTACAACAACCTGGGTAATGTGTGTGGAGACAAAGGTGATCTACAACTTGCTAGTGATTATTATCAACGGTCACTGGAAATCCGATTAGAACAGTTAGGACCAAACCATATTGACGTTGCTACTTCATACAACAACCTGGGTATTCTGTGTAAAGACAAAGGTGATCTACAACTTGCTAGTGATTATCATCAACGTGCACTGGAAATCCGATTAGAACAATTAGGACCAAACCATATTGACGTTGCTGCTTCCTACAACAGCTTAAGTATTGTGTTTAGTGATAAAGAGGAACGAGAAAGGGCTGGATATTATTGTCCACGTGCGCGGGAAATTCGGCCAGAATATCAAGGTTCAACACCTACGAATGCATCAGGTTCTCGTAAGAGCCGATGTATTTTACTGTGATGCAGGGAAGTAAACTGAAAAACGGGTATTGTTAATTCAGTTCTGATACTGTAGCTCTATTTACTAAAATAAAAACCGAAGCTTCTTCAGAGCTGCAAAAGGTGAAAAATGTAATAAAACGAACTGAGAAATCATTGCCAACAATCATTGGAAGTCGTTTTATCATAATTAGCCTTTTCGCAATCGAGCAAAGGTACTGTGTCTGGTCGTGAACCGCAATGCATCTAAGGATTGTTTGGAGGGACAACCGGAGAAGCTTGAAACTGAACCTCTGCGAGAGTGACAAGGGATTTCAATAGCAAGCTAGATAAGTACTTTTTGAAATGCCGTCCAATTCCAATAATTTTTTATTTGTTTTTACTTTAAATTTGTAATTTTGTCCCTCCAACAAATTGATAGATGCATTGGTGTTCGGTACTGGACCCAGTATCTTGCTCGACTTGGAAAAGGCTATCAATAGTCATCTTCAGCCTGTTCCGAACGTGTTTATTCATAACGTGGTAGCAATGTTCCCATAGAAATTATAAATTTCTACAAAGTTAAGCTTGTAATATTGTTCGAGCGAATTCATTCCCAATTGTTCGCGGATTTATAGATCTAATTAGTTCGCAGGAACTGTAACTAGTTCAAGGTAATGAATATAACATAGTATCTGACATCACTGTACTTCCCAAACATGTGCGCGAAGAAAACGGATAGCTTGTTGTCTAGGCTCGTCGATCTCTTGTTGTGCGGAATTACCAGAGTATATTGGGTACTGAAAATTTTCATTCGTTTAGACAGTGAGATGGATTTTATATTACTTCAAAGTCAGTATTACTTCAAAGGTAGTAATTCAGAATCATAGTATTTGAAAAGGAAACATATTATTTGTTCCAGGCGAAGAACATTGAAAGTCAAAGGGAAATACCTCGTCAAAACAGCAAAGTTCATGTTATATTCTAATGATAGTTTGGCACTTTGTTTCTATATTCTCCTGAGCATGATTATACATGATTTTTCAGACGCCGGTTGTATAAAACTCTTAACTACATTTTGGGTAGTAAAATCGTTGCTAACTCTAAAATACACGATTCTGATTGGCCAACTCTTTCACTAACTATAGTTAAAAGGTAATAACTACCTTTTTATACAACCGGCCCTGGGATTGTAGAAGCCCCATCCCGCCAAGGGCAAAGTTTCAATTTCGAAATTAAAAATGATATGATATGATATGACATCTTTATTTTCACACGAAGTCCATTCACAATTACAAATATATGCTCTTCCATGGAGATGTGCATTTAACTAATGTATAATATATAAATATAGGAAAAACTAAACTACTTATGAAAATATGTACATGGAATATATAAATTTACGAGATGAGAGACATAAACTCACTCAGAGACTGTGCACTGGATATTTGGACGGGTATGTTGTTCCACAAAATTGCACCTCTATAACTAAAACTTTTCTTACGAGATTCTGACAGGGGCCTAGGAACAAAAAATTGATGATTCGCCCCACGTAAGTTATGCTCGTGCACTGAAGAAGTGCGGTTGAATTTATTGGTTATATAAATAACTAGGAACCATATTATTGGCCGTCTTATACATTACTTTGTTAAACTGTAGGGCACGCCTATCTTCTAGATTTGTCCAGTTCAATGATCTTAAAATTTCAGATGAGCGAGTGTAATAATCAGAACCAGTAATGATTCGTGCAGCCCTATTTTGCATTTGTTGTAGCTTTTGCCCTAGACCCTTAGCCAGATTATCCCAAATAACACTAAAATAATCAAAATGTGGCTGAATTAAAGAATTATAGATTAGCACAAGGGCTGAAAGTGGGAGCAACGGTTTTAGTCTCCTTAAAACTCCGATCACCTTGGAGACTTTAGAAACAATCGCAGAGACATGAGACTCCTATGTTAAACCCTCGTCCAATTCTAAGCCTAAACATTTATATGATTTGACTCTTTTAATTTCATTTCCTGAGATAGAAATATCCAGTTGTCCAGGAATATTACTTAGCCTTTGACGAGAAGCAACAAACATATATTTTGTTTTCATTACATTAAGGCTAAGCTTATTCATGTTGAGCCAATTTTGTAGAATTATTAAATCATCGTTTAAAACAGAAATAATCTTATTGAGGTCATCATCAGCATATGTTACATTGGTATCATTGGCGAATAAACGCCCATTTGATACCAACTGACATTTAGGGAGGTCATTGATATAGAGTAAGAACAGCAGAGGGCCAAGAATAGATCCCTGTGGAACGCCACATGTTATCTTACAGCTACCGGACGATACATTATTGATAACAGTGATTTGTGAGCGTCCAGATAGGTAGTTTCGAAATAGCTCTACTGTTTGACTGCTAAATCCATAACGGCTTAATTTACCTAGTAAAATCTCATGGTCGATGGTATCGAAGGCCTTCTTTAAATCAACAAATAGTATGGCATTAATCAGGCCATTATCCATATTCGTATACCACTGATCTGTGGCATCAAGCATTGCTGTTAACGTAGAATGAAAGTGTCTAAAACCAGATTGCTCTTTAGATAGAAGATTGTTGTTGTTGAGAAAATTGTAGGTTTGATCAAACACGACTTTCTCAAAAACTTTTGCAATTACTGGAAGGACTGATATTGGCCTATAATTGTTGAGATCAAGTTTTGAGTCATTTTTATGAATTGCAGAAACTCTGGCACTTTTCCAGTCAGCTGGAATAATTCCTTTACAAATCACCAAATTAATAATATAGGCTAGTGAATTGATTGTCGTGGGGGCACTTAGTTTTAATAACCGCACAGAGATGTTGTCCAGTCCACTCGCCTTACATATTGAAAGTTAATCAATTAATCTAGAAATTTGGACTGTCGATACTTCATGCAATTCGAAAACAAGGTTATTGCGGTTAATGTTATTAACAGCTGAATTCGTATTTGTAGGGATTTGAGCTGCTAAATTCAGACCTATTTCTGTGAAATATTCGTTGAAAGCATTGCTTATCGCCTCAGGATCAGAAATTTCGCTGCTATTTACCACAATTTTAGGGATTTTAATTGAACCTTTTGCCTTAGATAGAATGCTGTTGATACCTTTCCAAGTTTCCTTGGTACGACCAACATTATTTGAAAAGTATGAATTATAGTATTGCTGCTTACTATTTCTGATCTTATAGTTTACTGGGGTTTTTTAGTTTTGAAATTTACCCAATCACTTTCGTCCTTGGTAATTGCAGCCTTACGTTTTAAATGATCTCTTTCCCACATCAGTTTCTTAATTTCAGCAGTAAGCCATGGAGCACTGATTTTTCGTACTCTTCTCTTTTTTATAGGCGCATGCTTGTCAGCAATTTGCAAAAAGAATTTTTTCCAAGTTTCCCAAGCCTTTATAGGATCATCATAAGATCCCACAAAGTGCCAGGAAACTGATTCAATGTCACGCTTAAAATTGCTTTCATTAAAACCTTTATAGTTACGGCATTGAATTGTTATTGGTTTAGATTTAACACTTGAGTGTTTTTTAACAGCATAAATAAGATTATGGTCGCTAATACCAATAGTATTAACGCCTGCAGTCGTAAAGTTATTTGGCTCATTTGTGAGAAAGAGATCAATTAACGTAGATGAGCTGCTAGTGAGTCTAGTTGGCTCTTTAATCAGTTGAGTATACTGATATAACTCAGTTAGTTCTAGTAGGTGGTGGGTATTATTGTCTACTACATTGGCAGATACGTTGCAATTCAAGTCACCAATTAAGTTGTTTTCAATTCCCAGAGATTCAAACTTGTCTAATAGGTCTTGAAATTTTTCAAACAGATGAATTGAAGAGTTTGGAGGTCTATACCATGTAGAGGCAAGGAACGGCTTGACTTTGGGCTTGAAAATTTGAACACAGAGAAACTCGAGGTCTTCATCTTAAACATCGTTTCTAATTGTCCAATTGAACTCCGGATGTACATAGCTACTCCACCTCCTTGTCTAGATCGGCCTCTTCTGACGATGTCGTATTTATCAATGGAAATTTCAGAGTCGCTTATAGTATCATCAAGACGAGTTTCATTTAGTACCAAAATACCAAAGTTCGGACCGCAGTTTTGGAGGATTTTCTCCGAGAACTCCGGTTTTCCTCTTTTTGTTTCGTTTTAAAAAACACTGTCCATGTTTGTGGGCAAACCAAGATATGACACAAGAGTTCTTTGATAGACGAGTTTCTTTATAGAATATTTGACGGCAAAATTGTAACCCAGTTCCATAATAACTGTTTAATGTATATTTGGCCTGTGAGTGAAAATCCCACACTGTCCAAAATGTTGAAAATTATGAGCGAAATATTTTTGCTTCTCCATCAAGATTCTCAGCTTAATTACCCTTGCAATAAATATAGCTTTGAGATTGCAAATTTCGCATAAGTCGCATGTGAAAAGAATGAAAAGATTTCCTTTACAAGGAATGTTAGGAATGCCTTTAATACTTCGGTTTCCTTCTGTAATAAAACTGAAAGAATAAACAAATTTAGGTCTGAAATATTTTATCTAAAGAATGAAAGTTGGTGTACATGGCTCTGGGTACGAGATTGGCTTGGTCCTGACTGGACACGAGCGCCGCATAAGCGCAAGCTTAACAACAGCGCTTCGCTTTGATGTGCTTATGTTTACTGTAACATAAACAACGCAAGAGGCCGTCCTCACTTCCGTGGCGTAACGTTATATCAGGGGGGCCCCGGTTCAAAATTTCCGAAGCCCCCCCCCCCTAATAGAAGTGCCAAAGTCGAGCGCCTTAGTATATGCACGAGTTTGCTAAGGGGTCCAGGGCATGCTCTCTTAAATGCCATTTCTCGGACTTTGGGGAGAGATTTTACTGATGGTCAGATAACGACATTGTGTCATATCAGAGGCCCTGGCCAATGTTTTTGCTTTACAGCCTGAGCCTGTGGGGGGGGGGGCATTTCGCCCATTGGAGTTGCAAGCCCCAGGGTTCGCCCGGTCCGAGCCCTTACTAGTTACGCCACTGCCTCACTTGTTGGAACATCAACGCAAGCACAAGAAGAACACAAGTCGTTGATATCTTATCTTTGTTCTTATGATTTGGTATCCTCACTGGTGAATAACCTTGGTTTAGTTATGCTAATTTCGCGCACAGTCTAGAAATTCATTTTCAGCATGCAGAAACACGCTGATGCTTTAGTAATAGTGACGTAATGCAAAAGTATCAAATATTGGTTATCGTTCCATGTTTCGTGCACCAATATAGCAAACGTCATGTAATCGGTACTATAGTGTACCATATACATAATTATACACTATTGTACATAGCTATACTACGGTAAACATGTTATATGCACTAAACACACTATTCACACTATACACACTCTACAAGCAATACTGCACCACCCACAGTAAACATGGTATATGTACTATACACACTATACACACTATACACACTGTACAAGCAATACGCTACCACCCACAGTAAACATGGTATATGCACTATACACACTGTACAAGCAATACTGCACCACAGACAGTAAACCTGGTGTATGCACTAAACACAATATACACACTACGTATATACACTGTACAAGCAATACTGCACCACACACAGTAAACCTGGTATATGCACTAAACACAATATACACACTATACACACTGTACAAGCAATACTGCACCACACACAGTAAACCTGGTATATGCACTAAACACAATATACACACTATACACACTGTACAAGCAATACTGCACCACACACAGTAAACCTGGTATATGCACTAAACACAATATACACACTATATGCACTGTACAAGCAATACTGCACCACACACAGTAAACATGGTATATGCACTAAACACGCTATACACACTGTACAAGCAATACTGCACAACACGCATATAACATGCATGGTATATGTACAGATTTCACTCGTCATAAAGAAACTCTGCAGCGTAATGAGTTAAATAGGCATGCATATTAATTGTTGAAAGCACAAGTAAATGAAAGTTCTACAAACTCTGACAAGTTTAATTGCATGGTGGGGGGAGGGGGTTACTATTATTTGTAAGAATATTCTTAAAAAATTATCGTGTTATCATGACAACTACTTTAGATACTTCATGTTCGGTAAGGTGACTTCATTGTCAGTAAGGTGAGGGTTTCTGCATGCATGTATTTTCTAGTATAATAACGTTTTCAATTTGACTGTTGATTTTAAAAATTAATATTGCAATTTTTGATCGTCGCGACCTCAACCGCTACAAATTTCAACCGATCAAAGATCGTCGCGACGGCGCTACTAGTCTGTAAAAAGTTGATCTTTGTTGCAGTGTATAGTTATTATGTTGAACGCTAGGCAGTTTTCAAGTCATCTTGATGTATATATATATAATTTCTCACATTTATTTTGTATTAGCCGTTATATTTTGTAGAATATTTATAGCGTGTTACTATATTTAGAGCGTGATGTTGTTTTTCAAGTGTCCAACTGACTCGCATTTTTACCAGCAGTGGCAAGCATGTACCCATGCGCACAACAACAAAACTTGTCAAACTTGTTTTACGGGTGAGAATTTAATGTTTCGTCCGTGAATCTGCAGGGCGGCTACATGAAACGATCGTTTGTTTGCTCGCAGTGGTTTCTCCTCAGCTCAGAAACCACTGTCAGCAGGGTAGCATTCACCCGAAAATATATTCGAAATTAAAATACACAATTTAATGCCAATTTGTTTGAAGATATAAAGTCTAGTACGGAGTAAGTTCGAAGATGCAAAATTCATCCGAAGATAGAAAATTTATCACAAAATTCCAAAATTATCCGAAAATACACAATTTATTCGAGGATGTAAAATCCGCTAGAAAATGGGGAAATACAAGTCAATAAGTTTCTATTTATGGAGAAAAACAAAAAAACATATATTGTAACAGCAAACCAAAACTTATTATGCGCGCTCAGCACAGCACATGATGTTGACTGCTTTATATAGCGAAATTTCTTGGAAATTTCGCGTCATTTTTGGTTCGATTTTTGAAGTACTCTAACTTTTCGAATTCATCATTTTGTGTTTTATGGCTGAAACTTCAGTAAATGTGTGGGGTTGGATAGGTCAACAATATATATAAAATCGAGGGAAAGAACTTTCAGTTTTTCATATCTGCCACACGTTTTGTGATTCTTACAGCAAAGCTTTCTTAAAAGTGCTTCTAAAGTTTATTAATAGTTATGTAACTAACCTTTAAGGTAAAATTCAACCACAATTAAACTTCGCAAAACGTCAAAGCGTTCCTTTAATACTAATGTAAAACTAAAGTACTGCCTTTTTTCAATAAACTTTGAGTTTGAGATAAAATGATTTCAAATTCTCGCATTCAAATAACTTTGCTTTCTTTTTGATTTTCAAAATTTATTATAATAAAAAAACAGGATAATCAATAAAGATACTGACAGTCTGACACTGAAATTATATGCTGTCTTATTTCATTATACGCAACGATTGGTTTTAAAGCAATTATAAAGCAAACAATACATTAATATTTAAAACAAACTTACCTTCGTTAACGTCGGCGTTAACAATCATGTTGGCTACTCAAGACAGTCGCTATATTATAAGATCAGTGAGGATGACACCCACCGAAACACCGACAGTAACCCACGCCCGCGATCATTGATGAACTTTAGACTTCGCTAATGCTTTCCTTTCTCCGGGGATAAATAGCCGGGCGGATTAAGTACCCTCACAGCGGCGCCCGGGGAATACAGTGAATTGTCTGTAAAACAAGAGATTTTCATGCTGACGTACAGTAAAAATCACATACTCGTGCACTGCTGACTAGCAATCTTGTTTCCTACACCAGCTTAATGCAAAAACCTGAGCGTCATGCAAATACGTTTTCTTATGCATAAGCGGTATTCCTGAATTCATATCCCGTCTTCGTTCTTCTGCCTTCATTCACGACGAATATTTTGGCAAAACTCGTTGTGGACTCTGTTCCAAACGAAGGCAGAAGGAAAAGACGGGATATAGTTCCATGTCTCGCTGGTTTTTTTCTTGGTGAGGGCAAGAATTATGGTCAGTATTCATAAAGGGCGACACATGGGAAGACACATAGAGCAACCAGCAGTGACGTCCAACTCAGTATACGCAAGATAATGTGCAGACGGCAAAAATCGTCACGTAGGCGCTTCGTCTTCGCACTTCGTTGCCTTGCTAAAACTCTCTATTAAGGAGTTTACGGATGTAAGTTATAGATGTGCGCAATGCAAAACTGCGGAATTACCTTAAGACGGCGACGTCAGGAGAACGGCTAAACAAACTGTTTTAACTAAATAATTGTATCGAAACATTGTTTCGAAAGAGTAAAATAGAGCTTTAACCTTCAGGGTAGTTTAGATCAACTGTGCCAAAAAAATCTACCTATCACGACATGAAATGCTAGCATACTAAACGGGACGTGAAAACATGCATTTTGCTATTGTCCAAAGCTTAATTGAACGACGTCTAAAACCCCAACCAGACTTTTAATTATTCATTTCTTTTGTGCTATAGGAGCAATATTCCTTGCAAAAATGTTTTAGCCACGGTGTCAAAACTGGCCGTCCAACCGTGGGTGTGGCAACACATTTTCGTGGACGCGGTCAAAAGCAGCCAACTTGATACCAATGGACCTTTCACCTTTTGACGAAAATTTAGATTTCAACAAGTCTAGACAAAAAATTATCATAGCTTGAAAGAGCATCACAAAATTAGTAATATTCCAAAGTTTCGTTGCAAAATGTTGTAAAATGCGGAAAACATAGCTTTGCGAAGTTTGTAATTTTCAGTCATTTTGTATTACAAACTGGAAATACATACTCCTGAGTATGTATTTCCCGTTTGTAATCTAAAATGACTGAAAAACGGCAAACTTCGCAGGGCTATATTTTCCGCATTTTACAACATTTCGCAACGAAACTTTGGAATATTACTAATTTTGTGATGCTCTTTCAAGCTGTGATAAAATTTTTGTCTAGACTTGTTGAGATCTAAATTTTAGTCAAAGGTCCGTGAATTGTCATATATTCATCATTCTGGTGCCTTTGGACCACGTATGCAACATGCAGCTCTCAACGTTTAATTTATTCAAGAAATATTACAAAGCTTGCGAGTTGTTGATAAAAAATATTTTCTTAGGCCGTCTATGGCCGTCTTTTCGGAATATATACCTTACCGTTCATTCACTTTTCACTCAATGGTCTCGTTTTCGTGTCAAATACTTACTCATGTTTTGTGCTTAGTAGGGTTGAAAATTACTTTGTTATTGAGCCAATAAAATCAGCAAGAAACAAATTGGTCCAAAAAAACATGGGAATAATATAATCTATAACTGCCCCTGACATGCTTTTAATAAGTTAACATGGAAACGAGGCCATTGGGTAAAAGAGAATAATCAGTAAGGTCTATTGGCCATCTAAATTCAAAAATAGTCATCCATTGGAAGGTTGGACCCCCGCTTGGCTAAATGCCTGGGGCCGGTTGTATAAAAAAGTGATTAAAGTTAACGATAGTTAAATGGAAACGTCATCCAATAAGAAGCACTAGCTAATATTATTCTGTAATATGATTTGGGTTTTTTTCTTTACCATTTGTTTTGAAATTTTGTCGCTGAGAAAGAAACAATCCAGTTATACTGATATAGATTTCAGAAAACCAGCAACATGAACTCGTAAACAACAGAAAACCTTATATAGTGTCTAATTGCAGCAATTGGATGACTATATATAGATTAATTTGTGTAGACAAAAAATAGAAGTAAGGAAAATATGGACAAATAGGACAATTTCAAATTAGTGTTGATATTTATTCAAAATTTACAAGCATCGATCATTGTCAAATATAATTTATAGTAAATATAATTATTTTCATATTCCAACCAGTTTATTTAAATTAAAAACAAAATTCAAAAGCTATAAATAATTGAGACTAATTAATAACATTTTGAAAAATCAAACTATTTACAACATAGTCATTAATATATAATATTGTAGAAAGACATTATATAATAGCAATCGGTTTAGAAATCTTAAAACTATGATGCTAGTCATTTCACTCTAGTTTTCGTATTTCGATGTCTTCCTAATTCGTTAATGAGATAATATGTATGTTTGATATTTAAATGGATTGATCGAATTTATGATGTTGTTTCTATAATTCTGAAAACCCGAAAAATCCTGAAGGAATCGACTCAATTCGACATTTTTAAAACGTTTTTACCTTGGAAGTTTGCTTTTTTTGGTGAAAAAGAATTCAGATGAAAATGTTGTTGTGTACACTTAGGTTAGAGGCATAATCAGGTCATTTGGAAACAGAAAATCATAAATTGCAATATTTTGCGTTACCTTATGAAGATACATATCAAACCAACTATAATACCTCAAAAACGGCACCAAAACATTACAAATAATTGGTTGCATGGGTAATTTCCTGATTAACAATTGGCTTCTTTTTAATAAATGAGCGTTATGTTATCGTGGTGATTTCCGTAAGATGAACGATTTTTATACATGGAAATTCCGAGTGCAAATTATATACATTTTTAGGCCTTACCAGGAGCAGCTGCGAAAAATGCAACCTGCATGTAGGCCCTGAGGCAGTAATCCTTAAAGTCTTCCTATATGAAAACGGACCCATATTCATTGTGCTGGCTGCTCCTATTTGAATAAGGGCAGCCAGAACATGCAGTCACGTGACCGTGTTCGATTCGATTCATTTAGTCTTCCGAAAATCCGGAGTATACTCCAAACAGCAAATGCATGGAACAGCCTGAATCTAATGATGTAACCAGGTTCGTCCAAGGATAGAGTCGGTTTTTCATTGGCATTGCAGTGTTAAAATTAGTATAAAATCTGTTATAGATATATGGACAAATAATTTCAACTCAGAAATTACAAAAAGTATACACCGATGTGCAAGTGCTCGTTAGTCTTTTCAGTAATGCATTAAATTTTGCGTTATGTTTTGTGATATATAATATATGCATTCCGATTTAGCTTGATTATTATTAATTCGGGCATTATATGTGTGGTTCTTTGCGCCATTTAAAGATGATGTCCACTCCGTTCTGTGCATCAGTTCCGCTCATAACAAAGGGGAACCCCCAGATATAAATACTGCCCAAATTTTGCATCTTTCGAACTTTTTTGAATTGTAACGTACAGTTTATATTCATTTACAAGCATAGCGAACCAGAAAAGTGTTAGATATTCAGTTAGTATATCATATTTTACAAATATAGCAGTTCAAAACGTAAACAAAGTTCGCGCATGTGCACAGGAGTGGACATCATCTTCAAGTTACCATGCTCAAAATATCGAAATTGTCGTGGGTTTTTTGGCGTCATTGCCAGAAACATCACAATACTACACCAATTATAAAAATGAGCTTGTCACTGGGGCTTGGCCATGGAACGGCGTCTCTGAACGAAACACTTTGCGTCGGTTCACTTTTAATGAATGTTAGTAAGATCCGGCGTTGGGCTGGTTTTTGTGGGCGCCAAAAGCCAGATAATGTTCTATTATATACCAGGCAGTGTAACGGACAGTTTTGTTTTCAGGATGGAAGTGTTTAACAAATCGATAACATTTTACAGTTGCTGTTTAGTTATAGGTACACATGTTATATCTATTTGCAATGTCAAAATATTTGCAATTGTATATATTAAAAAAGTTGAAAACTTAACCCGAATCCTTTTCTCGTTAAATTTCAGTGAAAAATAAAAAACAACCAGTAAAAATATCAATATATCATAACTTGTTCATGCCTTGATTTTTTAATGTTTTAAATACAGCCAATTCAAAAAAGGGTTCTCCTTCGCAAACCTTAAACCTTAAACTTTAAGCGCGAAAAGCTTCTTAGGAGCACAATTTCCAAGCTTAGTAGTTCAATATGGCAGCTATTTGCGAATGATTGTTCTTGTGAGGAGATATTTACCATGTCTCTAAGAAATGGGCTCTCTATATGATTTTGAAACTGATTAAATGATGCACCCTTTATGCTTTGCACGCTTAGAGTTTAAGGTTTAGAGTTTATAAGGTTTGCAAAGGACAACCTTTTTTGAATTAGCTGTATAATGATCTGCCTTTTCAGATATACAGGGGCGGCGCTACAGGGGGGGTGTGGGGGGTGGAACACCCCCCCACTCGTCAGGTAATCGGCAAATTGTTGTCTCAGTCGGCAAAAGTGGATTGGGCAGTCGGAAAATATTCGATCAACAGTCGGGCGATTTTGGTTTGCAATAAAAAAAAATCGGACAAATTATGTCAATTTTGTCTAAAATTAAGTGAATTTTTTGGAAAATTTTGTGGGTGGGGAGGTCGCCAAAATAATTTTTCCGGAACAAATTTTTTGACTCGGCAAAATTACCAAACAACAGTCGGCAAAAGATCACTCACACACCCCCACTCGAAGAGGGTTAGCGCCGCCCCTGCAGATATATGAAGACAACATTCATAATAAATCTTGACAACATAATATCATCGCTTTGACAAAATTGATAAATAGCGTTCCAAGCCGACCAGTAAAAAGCCACAGTAATTACATATCACAAACCACGAGAACTTACGCAACGGCTTCATAATTGGGCAGCGCAATTGATACGGATGAAAGATTCTGTACTGAAAATTACTGTGGTAAATCCACTAACATGTATAATACTTGTAAAGCAAACGTATACGTATAACTGTATGCATTTAATGCAAATTGGCATTGTGATCCATGTGGATGTAGAATTCATAGTTGTGCTATAAAATATACTAAATCTCGGAAACGGAGAAATTATAAGATTAAATAAACTAAATCAACATGCATGTTCATTATACCTAAATTTTTCAAATCAACATGCCAGGAAACTTTAAATTATCATATAAATTTCCAGACTGAGTGAGTGAGGACTCGCAAATTTGGAAGTATAAAATCGTTTAGAGTTTATAGTGAAGGTTTAGTTTCAAAACTAAGTAACTACAAGTAACGTGTACGTGATTTTGCCCGCCAAAAGTAAAGCGAATGATCTGCTGAGCTTAGCAGATTGTATACTCTTTGACGTAACGTTGTTCTGTTCTAAAAATTCCATTCATATAAGTATATATTTTTTTTAAAAACAAAGCGTTTCTATACAAACGCAATTTTCTGTATACTCTCGCTTTTAAAAACTCATTCAATTGGTACAAAATCAGCAACAAACCAATAAATTCCTAAAACAAATTAACTCGTTAGCCGACTTAGTTATCTCGGTTGAGTAAACGAGCATGTCGACTACAACTTGCCAAAGTCAGCGGCAGAAAGTTGGCTATACGTTTGGCGAGGGAAATGTTGTTGTCGTACTCGTAGTCAGAACTAAACCTCCCTGATATTAAGGTGCAGCACACAAGCTTGCATGCAAACAGGCGATAAGCGGAAAAAGAGTTGAAGTTCTGATTTTCTTTTAGGGCCTGTTCATACATTTGTGAGCCCACGTTTTGCCGGGAAGCTCACCTGAGTGGGATAATTTATTTCTTTGTTCATGCATGTGATAATTTTTTTATCACATGAAAATTATGTGGTAATTTATTTCTGTGCCACGAAATTACAGTAGTGTTCACATGATAATTTATTTACCACATGATAATTTCTGTGATAATATATTTCTGTGGCACGACATTACTGTATACATGGCGAAATATTTTTGTTGTAATTAAACAAACTGCATCGTATTATGACTTTAATAGTGTCTGTTACGGTTTAATTAATGGTATTTTTTCTGTTTGTTTGTATTTTCCAACTATGCCATTTTGATACTATATTGTATGCCACAATCGGAAAAATTGTCCATCCTTGTCAGGTGGGATAAAGCTTTCATATGGACAAATTATGCAAGGCAAGATCTTTCCTATAACCGGGCTGGCTCGTTTCTCATATGAATACAACTTGAATTTTATATGCGTTAACAAAGGGCATGCAGATCTCACTGAGGTGAGGTTCTTGGTTAGCTAAGCTCGTATGAACAGGCCCATACTCTCTCTAAACCTGGACCAATTTTACGTTTGGGCAAAATTGCACGCATGGAAGATTCTCAAACTATAATGTGCTCCACCAAAAATAGAATTTTCATAAGTAATTCAAAAACGAATGCCTGTGTGACGCGCGTAATTTTTTCCAGAAATTAAAAACCCCAATAGAATATTAATAATTATTGACAAAATATGCCTATATGATTGCCTTAATGATTTTTTTCCATAATTACTGCCAGCAGTTATAGTGTAACCATACTGCAATACGACAGAAAATATAAGATTTAGAAATTTTCTTTACTTATATTAATATACCATATTAAACTTAATATTTCTAGTATAGGTAATCATGCGATGGCGAGTACAATTCGGGATTAACAGTACGAGTGATGTTTGGAAATTTTGCCAAAATTGGACGAGCCGCCGGGGCGAGTCCAATTTGGTAAATTTCCAAACATCACGAGTACTATTAATCCTTAATTGTACGAGCAACATCGCATGATTACTTGTTTATTATTAGCATGACAAAATTGGATACGTACTTCTCAATGTCAACATCATATTCTCTTGCCAAAGCCCAGTCCTGCCAGACTTTCAACCAAAATTTGGTGCTTTTGTTTGTATTTTTATTTAGTTCTTTTGTTAAAGCAAAATTTGGGGCTTTTGTTCGTATTTTCATTTAGTTCCTCCACAGCAATTTCATTTCACGCTTGTGTTTAAAATACGTTTCCGCCATTTTGTTTGTTTTGAGAAAATTATTAATTGTACTGCAGTACAATTAATGAAATAATTGTACTCCTCTCAACCAATCAGCATCCAGTAATTTTGCCATGCTAATAATAAACTGTGAAACACTCTTACCATGCACTAAACCATCGTTTCAACACTTTGCAACTCTACATTTTCTTCCAAAAATGTACAGGCATCATCCCTCCCGATCTTTCTCAATGCCTCGTACAGTCTGTCCAGAGTTGCATCGTTTGATGTTCCCCAGTAATGCAACATTTCTTTCGTTGCTGTCTCAATGTTCATTGAAAAATTTTGAATTTGTTGGTAGGGTACACCAATTTCAGCTGCCACTTCTCTCCAGTTATTTGGCGGAACCATAGAGTTTAACAATAAATGAAGACCCAGTATAATTTCGCCAGGTTGCTCGCGTAAAAATAAACCTTGAAATGACAGAAAGATTGTGAAAATTAAATTCATTGCCAAATAATAATAAATAGGGACTTGCTGTGCGGCTTCATAGATAAAACAATTTTGACAATTACGACCCCACCACGTATATTTGGTGAATTATATATACTTGATTTAGTGTACCAGGAATGACACCTTACATCGAGTAGACTGTCATTAGCCTGAGTAAAAGGCCATATAGCGACAGGATTAAGGTTCTATCAGGTTACATTTGCAGAATGGAACAAGGCTAGAGACTAGAGTGCGATCAATCCTATATGATTCGTTCAAATATTTGATAGGATAGACTAGACGTCTTCATCTACTGTACCTAATGCAAGTTAGAAATGCATGCTTGTTCAAACTTTCAAATTTAGAATGGATCGAATTCCAAGTAATTGGAGATGGTTTCTACTCCGATACATTCTCATTGTTGGAATTCAAATGTTATATCAAGACCCTTCTTACTTAGTCAGCATCATAATTAGGTCTAGGTACATGTACATGTACAGTAGTTTCTTATTGTTTCAAGATTTCCTGGATTAATACTGTCAATAAGTTTTCTATTAAAATTTCGCTCGATACTCTGGTTTGAACTTGATGTAAACTTAACCGGGATTGATTGAACGTTAATAGCAGTGCGTATCCCATTCGTCAATCTTTGTCCCTGGTTAATTATTAAATTACGCGATCGAGATCCTTGCGTGAATTTCAATTTTTTCTCCAGATTTTTAACAATTTTTGAAAACATTAAATATTAGATGGTGCAGGACGGCGGATAATTCTATATTTTCTATTTCTAATTTTTTTGCGTGAATGATGTTCATTATTTATTTTTAATGAACTATTATTAATATTCATATAATACCAGACCCACCGAGCATTAAGGGCTTTTTTGCACTCATCACAAAACCTAACTCGCAAGCTTGCATCTAATTAGCCTTTCTTAGGACGACGAATATCCGTCATTTTTGGGTAGCATCTAATTCTCGTTAACCAATGCAGACAATTAAAACAATGTGAAAAGCATTTTTTCAAAATAAACTATTAACCATTTTCAAAGCAAATTTACCATTATTCGTGCGAAAAAGTATAAAAAGTTGCTGTTATGTGGACTTATCTCGCAGACTTCGACTGAAAATCCACCAAAAAAAAGGCAGCGTGAGGAAGGCTAATTGAATAAAACTGTCGATCACTGTGATCGGTGGAAAGAATTCGTAGCGAGCTTATGAGTTGACTCTAGCGATGTATGGAGCCGAGAGGCTTGAGGGACCGTCATTATTTATACCCTAGGGTGGGGTGGGAGTTTCTTATGTCAAATACAAAAATCTTGTAACCCTCCCCCCTTTGATGATCTGAATGTTGAAAACCCCCTCTACAAAAAATACTGGAAAGTTTTTACCACACCCCCAGTTTGTATGAATGTTTTAATACTGTAAAGAATACAGTATAAGTCAAGAATTATTGTTTCCTTGCATATTTTTGCATTCAAATTATATTATCTGTATTTAAGGGATAATGTAAGTTTTCGCAAATTTCTTATATAAAGTGTTTTTAATAATTCCTTTGCGAACCTTGCCGTATTGAACATTGTAGTTCACATTCGAGATATTTATCAGGGTGTGTTAAACTATATAAAGTATAACAAGCTATTAATGCGCACAACTTAAACTGGCATTTATAAATTTATTTAAAGGTCATTTAAACACACTTTTTTAGTTCAAAGTTAGTTCAAAGCCGGTTTAACCCTTTAAGTGTGCCCTACTTTACTTTTTAACCATATTTTATTTTACTCAGTCTATAACGCCAGGCGAGTTTACTCATCCTGGGGAGAGTGCTGCCACTCAATGGGTTGACTATCTGCCTAAGCATCATGTCAACCCTTTAAGTTGCAATGCGCCTACATACACCCACGTTACTCTACTCTACTCTACTCTACTCTACTCTACTCTACTCTACTCTACTCTACTCTACTCTACTCTACTCTACTCTACTCTACTCTACTCTACTCTACTCTACTCTACTCTACTCTACTCTACTCTACTCTAC